TTTACTAAACTGGCACACTTTCTCAAAGCACTATCAGTTGTATAAACTAAGATTGCTCGCTTGAAAAGTAAGGATTGAATTTTTGATGCTCCAATGTAAACGGTAGTTTTGAGGAGCATTGAGCTTGTTTGTGTTTCACACAATGGCCACATAGCCACGATTATAAAAAAATGTTTAGACAAACAATGGCAACATGGTACCGGAGTACCGAGAGAGCTGGCAACTTTGCCCCGACGCGCCTGGACCACATGACAACTACCCGGATCACTCCCGAACAAGCTGTGTGACGAGCGATCGAACAACGTTTTAGTAGGTCAATGCTAACGGCAGACTCAACAACAACAAACTGCCGGAGGTCAGAGCCGATAAACGTGATATTATGTATACCGTAATTTTGAAGGGATTGAGTGCGGCTCATATTTCCTTTGTCTGAAGGGGACATTACCTATCGACATCCATCTGTTCGCGTGGGGGAGGGATCAAACTAGCTGTGATTCTGAGATCCTGGACACGTCTGTGGTTTGGACGATTTTTATAATTTTGTGAGGGCGTTGAGCATCCTGCCCCCCCCATCTTTTTTTCTGTTTGTGCTATCGGTCTAAGGGCGGGCCATACAATACCAACGCCCCAAAATGGCCGCTCCCACGACAAGCCTCCACTAAAACCCCAGTCGCCCTGGCACGTCAGGGACCTCATTCTCCGCCAGACAGCCACCCACAAAAAGTGTCCACCGGACGCGCTTCCTCTCCCTGCTCCAGAGGCGGCACGTGTTCCGGGATCGGACCTCCATCCGCCGAGAGGGTCTGAGATGATCGGCGACCCTGCTCTCACAGCGGGGCGCCCCTGCACCCGAGGTCACCATAGGACCACATCACCGTCCAGTCACCACCCCCGTCGGGCGGAGACGGCTCCGACGGCTGGGGTGTATCTATCCTGATCGGGAGGAGACGGCCGACGATTGGGGGTGGGTCCGTCCTCAGTGTCCTCCCGTTCTGACCGGCCTGACGCCGCCCCTGCCGGCGGGGCAGACACCCGACCGCTGCGCTGATCACCGACCAGCCAGACGACGGATATTCACCAGGAGCGGTCACCGGTCGTGACACCGTCAGCTTTTTGGACACTTTTTGGGACAGCTTGATCCGGACTAGCCGCCAACGACCGACTGGAAAAGGCTGAGGCCCACCAGACAAAAACCGTTTACAGAAAGATAATGTCATAAAGAGATCAAGTCTTTTACATATTTGAAGAGAGAACATTTAAAATTGATAGTGAAGCATTATAATCAACAAACTTGTTCACGTATAATCTAAGATAAGATAGTTGTCCGACAGGATATCAAGATGGTTGCATGATCGCCATACCATTTCGTCACATTGTTTATAACCCAGACACAGGCAGAATAAAAAATGCATCATTACATCAGTTACACAGACCGCAAATAGGTCAGCGACGCTTTAGGCTCCTGACCACCCTGCCAGCACGCAATCACTGAAGAAGTCCGTGTTTACGTAACCGGGCGGTCGAACTCCGACCATGAATCGCCTCGTGCGTCCCCAATCCCACCACCCCCACCTGTAGCCCGGCGCCGATCTGAGATCCTCTCAGGACGTCTGAAGCCGTCCCCAATGACCTCACGGGCCATGTGACGCTGCTGAGTGACAGAACACCGTCCCCAGCCCCATACTGCACAGCGCCGCGCCGCCGAGCCGACCAGCTTTCTATCCCATTCACCGGGCCGGGGTGCCTGATGAAATCATGGCCACCGCCGCCCGCCGTGGCACAGGCGAGCGTCGAGCGGTCCCAGGCGCCACACAAGATACACCAGACAGCTGGCCGACGGGGACACCGTGCACGTGTTCCGCAACACGCTACAACCGTGGGGGACTCTGACAAACCACTACAAACAGGAGCAGTTCCGTGTCGAGCGGGGCAGCCACCGACCGCGACAACTTATCGTGTTTGACCGGCCAACAGTAAACGACACGACTACCGAAACACAGTGGCACGACACGAACGCTCTGCTGGGCCGTTCCGTGAAGTCCTTCCAAACAGTATGTCATTTGGGGACTCTGAGAAACACGTGGGTTAGTGCAGCAGGAATAACAGGGCACGGCAGCAAAAGACGGACACATGTGCCAGCCCTGTGCCAGCCGGCCACGTGGGAGACAAGGGACGGGCGATCGATATTTTCAAACGGGCAGAGCCGGCGAGCTTAGACAGAGCTGCTAGGTGTGTAGGTCTGTTGGCGCTGCTGTGAACGAGAAACATAGCATGGGAGAATTGCCGTGGATTGTTACGATGCCAGCACTGCCGGCAATGCTCCGCTCCGTCGGAAACAAGGGGAGATAGGAAGGAGAATCAAGCGCTGTATAAATGAAGCAGCCATCAGAGTTCGCGCTGTCTGGCTTTGTCCTGGGCCTAGCTGCAGAAAGATCAGCAGCAGCTGCCGGTGCATGGACTGCCAAAAATGTCCACCATCCTGCTTCGCTCTGTTTGGAGCGCTGCAAACCAGCCTGGTGCCAACGCAAACAATGGCATTTTCTTAGTCTCTTTGTATGTACGCCTTTGTTAGAGTGCACACATACGCCGAGGACAGGGTCAGATATGGTCGACATCGAGAGACACGGCCCACTCACCCGGTTCTGTCGCATGGGTGAGAACGGGTCACAGAACGGGCGAGGGACGGTGACCCTACCCATACAGCCGGACTCTCGGGCGCGCCCCGCCCCAGCAGGTGAGAGCGGATAGCAGCCAGCAGGACGGGGCGACGGCGCTTATCATCCCTTCGTAGCTGTGGGAGCGAACGGGTGTAGCACGGATGGGAGTGGCTCCAGTTCACAGGGCGGTTACAGCACCCGTCCACGACTGAGGCGCACCAAATAAGTCTCCAGAGCTGCCACCGCGGGCGCTCGCTCCACAAGGGAAGAGTTGCATCATGGACCCCATCAGCCTTGTCCAGGCTAATGGATATTCATGGGGTTCGTGCCGAGACAGTGAAGTTCATAAACCAATTGAAATTGCTGGTTAGCGAGGCCATCTCAGCCATAAGTCTTGTTCTGTTTTTGAGGGACTCTGGGTCATGTTTAGCAGCTTTGACCTCCAAATTTAGAGTTTGAATAATGGAGTTGAACACCTAGATGCATGCGCAGATGTGATTACAATACGAGGACACAAACTGATTAACTGGAACACCGAACATGAGCGGATAAATATTACACAGGATTGCCGAAACATAAATATTTTATCAAACCATAAATATTTTTCGCCGGCCGCCGGTTCTGCTCTCTATCACAGGAGGTCAAAGACAACAAAAACAGCCGAGACTGCGTCGGTCCGGCGGCACCCTACACCCAAACACCCTTCACCGTCTGGCCCCGGGCCGCTCGCCGGTCAACGCCCCCGCAGCGACACAAACAACTTCTCTCCAGACGGCCAGTCCCGTCTCTGTCCTGAACAGTAGAGGCTATCGTTCAGCGTCCGTCCTTCAATGTACTGAGATTGCTTCGATGGAACTGGATAAAACTGTATCCGGAATATCGACAGGAGAGCCGGAAATAACCTAGGACCGTACCAGCTCCAGTAGCCACCGGCTCCTTCCTGCCTTTAACTGACCTCCAATGTTCGGCAGTGCTCGAACTCACGATACAGTGATAGCATCGGTGGGTTCGGGGCGGGTAACAAGAGGCTTCGAAGGGATAACGTTTGGGTAATCGAGGAGCAACACAGCTATGAGCTAAGTCCGGCACCAGTTCACGGCTAAAACAGCGCCAGGGAGTTATAAAGTCAACAAGCTCGTATGCTGTCAGGCATCGGTAAAATCCTTTTTGAAAGGATTGCATTCCCAATCTACATTCCTAGTGCCAAAGTGGATTGCATTCCTACCCGCAATCCCCTTTTTTCACTTGGATTGTGATCAAATCCGCAATCCTTTTTTGCAATCCTGTTGTATTATTATGTGCACTAGTGGATCTGGGGGAGGGAGGGGGCATAGGGCCGTGCCTCCATCCCCAAATCATTCACCCATTTCTAGTACATAGTCTTGCGAGTAATTCCTATCTAAGGCACAGGTATTTTATGGGAAATATTTTTTGCCTCAAACACCCCCACATTTAAACCTCTACCCAACCAGTGTTTTATATTTTTAAAACTCGCCCTCAAATATTTAATTTTGCCCTTCCTATGTAGTTTATCAGCGTATATTATTTTGAGCGTTTAAATTAAAAGCGCTTAAATTATTTCAAGTTTCGATGTAAAGCCCTTGATAGCAAAGTACATTAAGCCGATGAAGCCGATCTCATAATTTTCAATCGCAACAAACCATTTCAAAGCACTAATCGTAATCAAACATAATCCGGATTGGATTGCAAAAATTGGAAGTATGATGCAATCCAATCCGCAATCAAATCCTGTTTTTTGGAATGGATTTCAAATCCAGGTGCAATCCACCAAAAAGGAATGCAATCAGGATTTTGCAATCCTGCAATCACAATCCTACCGATGCCTGTATGCTGTATATGGTAAACTAAACTTGTTACTAGAAGCAGTCACGCCAGCCGAGCATGCATGCACCAGGAAGTATGTGCACCGAATGTATGTCAGTTTGGCCGATAGATATACGGCAGATCAGGCCCGTGTCACCCGCTCTGAATAGTTCAGTCTGAAGGTCATGATCTGTCACCAGCGCAGTGCCGTGCCTATCTGAACGCCAGCTAGAAATAATCATGGTGACCTCAACGGCACTACCGGCAGGCATTGTATTCACCAGCGAACCATTTCGGATGTAGTGTCTCATATCAAGAGTCCAAAGTTGAGGGTCGAGGCAAAACAGGGAGTGTTGTTGCCAAGTGAATTAGAGGCCTAGCGAACTCAGCATTTACATTCACTAAGTAGCACTGGGGTGTGAGAGAGACATGCCCATTGTGCAATTACGTATGAGTGTATCATTTCACTAAATGTGCTAGCCTTGTCAGAGCCGCGTCTGTACAGAGGCGAGGACCCACCTTGTAGAAGAAGGCCCAGACGGGCATCTGTTTCTTGTCGGTGGTCTTGTAGGCCGGCTGGTTGATAGCGTGCTGTAGCGCCTTGATGAACTCCTCCTGGGTGATGCTGGAGTGCGGGTCGCTGACCTCGCCCAGCCAGTACTCCCACAGCCTCTGTAAATAAGGTCAGGTCAGGTCAGGTCAGGTCAGGGTGGGTTAGGACAGGACCTCGCCCAGCCAGTACTCCCATAGCCTCTGTAAGTAGGGTCAGGGCAGGTCAGGTCAGGTCAGGTCAGGTCAGATAGGGAAGGGCAGGACGGGTCGCTGACCTCGCCCAGCCAGTACTCCCACAGCCTCTGTCAGTAAGGTCAGGTCAAGTCAGGTCAGGTTAGATCAGGGCAGGTCAGGGCGGACAAAGAAAGGCAAGACAGGGCAGGGCAGGGCAGGGCAGGGCAGGTCATAGAAGTGCGACACGGAACAACGAGGACAGCGAAAAGGACAGTTATGGGCCAGGTCAACAACAAAACCAAGTGCGACAAGTACGGCTGCGTTTCAGATCGAGGATAATCAAATGGTGTGGGGCAAGACCACAGTAGGCACTCCTTGAATCAAGCGCAAGCTAAGAATCCAAATACGATTCAAATGAGCCTGTCCGATGCAATAACGCAGAAGATTATATCAACACTGAGTCACGTTCGATTGACGTATGATCCGACCCGCACGACCCAACAACCACGCTCCCTGCTGGCGTCAGAGCCGGCCGACATCCCGCTCCAATAAACGACACACGCCAGGGCCCGGATAAACAACAGGGGACTACAGTCGACTGCCGACCGCTGCGCTCTGTCCCAGCGGGCGAGACCTTCGGTGTGCTGTGACAACAAACAACCCTGAGCAGTTCGCACATGGTGCGGTCTTGTTGCGAACTGACACAAACGTCTGGGTGATTTTCGGTCGCGGCTGGCACTGTTGGGGTCAATGATGGCACGTCGGTATAGCTGTGGTATTTCGTTCTACAGTGATGGTGGTCATAAAAAGGCAGAAAGAGAAGAAATTGCGGTTTATGTCCCGACGTTCATGGCTCGAGTGCACCAGCTTATGACGATGCATGTACAAATGAAAGCAGCTTCTCCTGACATTTGGACATGATTCACTCGGAAACTTGAGTACATCTGATATAAAATGATGCATAATACTGATAGAAAACTCAAGGTGAGAGTCCATAATTGAGGCCAGACAGCAAATTACCGATGATATAGATTCAAACCTCAAGACTTCGTCTGTCATCGGCTGAAAATCACTGCGAACATTTTCATGGCCCACTATCACCCAGCACTAATACAGTTCAGTCACGAACATAAACAGTCTCGCAGTCACGCGACTCCCGTTCAGCCTTGGTCGGAACCATGAGCTCCCGTGATCTAGAATGGGCTCTATCAGTGCCACGTCCCCTCACGGCACCCCTCCACGCCCCCTCCAGGTGTCCCCTGCCTCGCGGGGTGGGTGGTACCGCGCTCCAAGGTAATTTATGCCCTCCCCTCCGTGCCCAAAGCACCGTCCATTGCAAGCTGGTGACTGGGGGACCCCGCTCCGCCCACAGTCGTGCCTTGCTGTGACCCAGAGTCCGGCACGGTCGTGAGGGTCCAGATGGAAGGAACGGAGAGGAACAGGAAGACAAGAAGGCTGGACCCGACCGGTACCGACCTTTTCAAGAATATAAATCGGAAGTGTTTCCTGATCAGATGTCTTCCGTACTGAGACGAATGGGACGGCTTTTTAACGGACTGCCGGGGACAGCAAATGACTTGCACGGCGAAATGAGGTAGCCAGAATACCAGGCTGGTGACGGTCACAGTGCCACTCCACTACCGGAAGTCTCCTGCCTCGTATGGCCTGGCTAGACGGCCACGGCGCAATTACACACCTGGATCGGCCTCCACCACTACTGACCAATTACTACCCACCGTGATCCCATTAGTAAGACCACAACTCATCATCTACTCGGCGCCGACGTGACTGGCTCCTACGGCTTGCCTTGGCCTTGTGTTGCCTAAGGCCGGTCAGTCGATCAACCACATCAGCCCAGACATGATGCAACCCACCCGCAAGACCTTGGCAACGCATCGACAATAACAAGCCATAAATCTCAGCCAGCCTCTCCTCTCCCCATCCCAGTACTTCGCTCGCCTGCAGGCTTTTTAAAACTCAGCCAACCACTCACCGATACTGCAGAACCTCCCTCAGAACTAACTAGCCCAGGTACCTATCCGCTCAGCCAAACCCCTATCAGTCAGCCCTTTTCTTCCGCCCTATTTTCCAGCTTTGAGTGAGTACCCCACGGGCCCTCTATCCCCGAATTTCTCCTCTCCACCGCGCCGCCCCGCTGCTTACCCGGAAGTTGAGCATGGCCTCGACCTCCTCCTTCATGCCGATATCGGTGTTCTGACAGAGCCGCGTCTGTACGCGCACATAGTCGGTCCAGTCGATCCGGCCGTCCCCGTCCGTGTCGTGCAGCTGGAAC